TGAGACCCTTTGTGATGAGAACAGTAGATGACCAGCTGACGGTCCAAACCGGCTGCTAGTAACAAAGGATGTGTTCTCTGGAGTAACGAATCACACTTCTCCTTCTGGAGTTTGGGTTTGGCTGTTGCCAGGACAACGGTACTTGTCTGACTGCACTGTCCCAAGTGTAAAGTTTGGTGGAGGGGGGGTTATGGTGTGAGGGCTCCAGTGAGGGGAACTCTTCATGCTTCAGCATACCAAGACATTTTGGACAGTTTCATATTCCCAACTTTGTGTGACCAGTTTGGGGATGGAGCTTCCTGTTCTAACTCAGCTGCACACCAGTGCACAAAGCAGGTCCATAAAGACATGGACGAGCCAGTTTGGTGTGGAAAAACCTGACTGGCCTGCACAGAGTCCTGACCTCAGCCCCACAGAACACCTTTGGGGTAAATCAGAGACTGTGGGGCAGGACTGTTCGTCCAACATCAGTGTGACCTCACAAATGTGTTCCTGATCAGAAGTTCCCATAAACACTCCTAAACCTGTGGAAAGACTTCCCAAAACAGCTGTTTAGGTTACAGCTGCAAAGGGTGGGCCGACATCACATTAAAGCCTGTGATCTGTTATCTGTCTAACTGACAGATAACGATGTGCTGCCTGGTGGCTACAGATCTGTGATGAGACTAAAACATTCACAGCACTTTGGAGGACGAGGGTTACACTGTTCTTAGCAAAGTTCTTCTTAAAGGTCTTGGAAGGTGGAGACAACACCATCACATGACAGGAAGACGACGCTGAACACAGAGCAAACTTCAGCTGAGATGGTCCATCCAGAGCTCGAGGTCAGTCATTAGCCTGCTCTGAAAACATCCCGATCCTCAGCTCGTGCTACTGACTAGAGCAGGGCGATATGGCCAAAAATATTTATCACGATATATATTTGAAAATTTGCGATGACAATATAACTGACGATGTAATTGATGCGAGACAAAAGACAACTCCACAACTTTACTAGTGCAAAAAAACCTCCATGCATTCATTTTCACTTAAACAAGCAGCTGTTTTTTATGTGCATTAAAGCCATATAAAAATTTAACAGTGCAAATGCAAATTCCTTGCTGAAAGTTTAACCAAAAGGCATTTCCAGTGGAAACCCAATTCAAGAACTTTGCAAGCATGGATGGAGGGAGAGCAAGAGGAGGAGGAGGAGGACGAAGAGGCCATGCACGGACCCATATCTCTGATGATATAAGAGCAACTTTGGTGGACCATGTCATCAACCATGGCCTGACTATGAGGGAAGCTGGGCAGAGAGTCCACCCACATCAAATCAAAATCAAATCAAATCAATTTATTTATATAGCACTTTTCAAAGGATAAAAACCACAAAGTGCTTCACAGTAATATAAAACAGAAATACATAAAATACATTAATAATAAAACACAGCACAAATCTAATTAAAAGCCAATCTAAATAAATGAGTCTTAAGCTGCTTTTTAAAAGAATAAATACAATCAAGGCAACGTAATGATGGAGGGAGAGCACTCCACAGCCTGGGGGCCACCGCTCTAAAGATCTATCACCTCTGGTCTTAAAATATGTTCGTGGGATTACCAACAGCCTTTGATTAGATGATCTCAGGCTGCGAGAGGGAGCGTGGGGTTCTAAAAGATCAGAAATGTAAGCAGGGGCATCACAATTCAAAGCTTTAAAAGTCAGTACCAAGATTTTAAAATGAATTCTGAAATGTACTGGAAGCCAGCGTAATGAGCGTAACACTGGTGTAATGTGCTCTCTTTTTCGTGTCTTAGTTAAAAGCCTTGCAGCAGCATTCTGGACTAACTGGAGACGGTCAAGATTCCTTTTGCTCAAACAAAGAAAAAGGCTGTTACAATAATCTAAGCGAGAAGAAATAAAAGCATGAATATTCATTTCTAACTCAGATTTAGACAGCAAAGTTTGCAGTTTGGAGATGTTTCTTAGCTGAAAAAGGCAGTTCCTAATTAACTGGCGAGAGTGTTGTTCTAGGGACATGGCAGAATCAAAGATCACACCAAGGTACCTGAGGCTCAGGTGAACAG